GACCAACGACTTCTTCATTGAGAATACTGTTTTTCAACAACATAAATGGCAACTATACACGTGGACTTCTCCAGATGGAATCAGATCAACTACATCTGTGGAAAGAGATGATGGAAAAGCTCAATATCATCAGTCAGAAAAAGGCCAGGGGCCGAATGTGTAACAGACCATCAATTGTTCATATGCAAGTTCAAGTTGAAGCTGAAGAAAATTAGAGACAAGTCCACAAGAGCCAAAGTACGACTCTGAGTATATCCCACCTGAATTTAGAGACCATCGCAAGAACAGATTTGACTCACTGAACACTAATGACCGAAGATCAGACAAGTTGTGGAATTACATCAAGGACATCATACATGAAGAAAGCAAGAAGTCATTAAAAGACAGAAAAGAAAGAAAAGGCCAAAATGGATGTCAGAATAGACTCTGAAACTTGCTCTTGAACGTAGAGTAGCTAAAGCAAAAGGATGAAATGATGAAGTAAGAGTTGAACAGAAGATTTCAAAGAGTAGTTCAAGAAGAAAAAGTAAAGTATTATAATGACATGTGCAAAGACCTGGAGATAGAAAACCAAAACGGAAGAACACGCTCTGCATTTCTCAAGCTGAGAGAACTGAAGAAAAAATTCAAGCCTCAAGTTGCAATAGTGAAGGATTCTACAGGGAAAATACTAAATGAAACAGGAAGCATCAAAAGAAGATGGATGGAATGCACAGTCATTATACCAAAAAGAACTGGTCGACTTTCAACCATTTCAAGAGGTAGCATATGATCAGGAACTGATGGTACTGAAGGAAGAAGTTCAAGCTGCACTGAAGGCATTGGTAAAAACAAGGCTCCAGGAATTGACGGAATATCAATTGACATGTTTCAGCAAATGGATGCAGCACTGGAAGCGCTCGCTGGTCTAGGCCAAGAAATTAAGAAGACAGCTACATGGCCAGCTGACTGGAAGAGATCCATATTTATGCCTATTCCTGAGAAAGGTGATCCAACTGAATGTGGAAATTATCAAACTATATCATTAATATCACACACAAGTAAAATTTTGCTGAATATCATTCAAAAGTGGCTGCAGCGGTATATCGACAGGAAACTGCCAGAAATTCAAGCCGGATTCAGAAGAGGACATGGAACCAGGGATATCATTGCTGATGTCAGATGGATCCTAGCTGAAAGCAGCGAATATCAGAAAGACTAATATCACACGCAAATAAAATTTTGCTGAAGATCATTCATTCAAAGGCAGTTGCAGCAGTACATCGACAGGAAACTGCCAGAAATTCAAGCCAGATTCAGAAGAGGGCATGGAACAAGGGATATTATTGCTAATGTCAGATGGATCATGGCTGAAAGCAGAGAATACCAGAAAGATGTTTACCAGTGTTTTATTACTATGCAAAGGCATTCAACTGTGTGGATCATAATAAATTATGGATAACATTGCGAAGAATGGGAATTCCAGAAGACTTAATTGTGCTCATGAGGAACCTGTACTTAGACCAAGAGGGAGTTGTTTGAACAGAACAAGGGGATACTGCGTGGTTTAAAGTCAAGAAAGGTGTGCAGCAGGGTTGCATCCTTTCACCATACTTATTCAATCTGTATGCTGAGCAAATAATCCAAGAAGCTGGACTATATGGAGAAAAACCCAGCATCGGGATTGGAGGAAGGCTCATTAACAACCTGCGATATGCAGGTGACACAACCTTGCTTGCTGAAAGTGAAGAGGACATGAAGCACTTAGTGATGAAGATCAAAGACCACAGCATTCAGTATGAATTACACCTCAACCTAAGGAAAAGAAGAATCCTCACAACTAGACCAATAAGCAACATCATGATAAATGGAAAAAAGACTGAAGTTGTCTAGGATTTCATTCTACTTGGATCCACAGTCAACGCCCACAGAAGCAGCAATCAAGAAATCAAATGACCACTGCATTGGGCAAATCTGCTGCAAAAGAACTCTTTAGTGTTAAAAAGCAAAGATGTCACTTTAAGGATTAAAGTGCACCTGACCCAAGCCATAGCGTTTTCAATCACCTCATACACGTGTGAAAGCTGAACAATGAATAAGGAAGACCGAAGAAGAATTGATGCCTTTGATTATGGTGTTGGTGAAGTATATTGAATATACCATGGACTGCCAGAAGAATGAACAAATCTGTCTCAGAAGTACAGCCAGAATGCTCCTTAGAAGAAAGATGGTGAGACTTTGTCTCACATACTTTGGACATGTTATCAGGAGGCACCAGTCCCTGGAGAAGGACCTTACGCTTGGTAGAGTAGAGAGTCAGCGAAAAAGAGGAAGACCCTTGTGGTGGATTAATTACTTTTGTGTGTGGCCTTTCTAGCCATGGTCTTGTAACTCCCACCCAGGTGACTGTGTGATAGGGTAATCATTGCCTACCAAGGGGACTGGTCAGTTTTACCTTAAAAGAGGCAATTCCAGAGCAAAGGGGAGAGCCTACCAACAAAGAAGGAGAGACCTGCAGGAGATGGCGCAGTGGGCTTCCTGGCCCACAGAGTGAGAAAGCTGAGTGCCTCTGTGCAGAGACTGAGGGTCCAGGGAGAAGTCTACCCCTGACCCACGAATTTGGGACTTGCCAGCCTCCACAACCACATGAGCCATTTCCTTTATATGGTTTGTGAGTTCTGTGAGACATTGCAGGGAATTAGGGAACCCAAAGACAGGAGGGAGGGTGCTGAGGCGAGAGGGAGTAGTTGATATTAGAGATGATAAAGTGGTACAGCAGCTTGGAAAAGTTGGATATTTGGGACATCTTTAACGTCCACCTCATAGGAACCAGCTTTGTGCTGGTTAGTTGGTGTCAGAATGATGGGTTTTGCTGCAACAGCCCAGACTCACTGGAATATGTGGTTTGGGAAAAAAGGAAATAAATGGGAGAATGAGAAACCTTTGGTTTCTGGATAGGATAAAAAACACCCATGAATTGAAGCAGCTGTTATGTTGCAATCAGTTACTCAAGGCAAAAGCTATTCACGGGATTTAGGAAGGGTGGATCTAACAATTCCTGAGGAATTGGCTAATTGGAAGCATATGGAAATAGAGTGATAAAGGAAAGGGCCAGACACACAATTCCTTGGTTTCTATTATCCATAAAAGCTGCAGTGGCAGGAAAAGAATGTAGGGGCTGATTTTAGCACTGAACCAAGACCAGATCGAGTCCAGTCAGAGCTAAACCGGAAAGGAAAAATCGGGTCAGAACAACAGGCAGTTCCTCTATGACCACTGGCCACCAAGAAGTTAGTCCAGAAGGGAAACAGACAAAACCAAGAAACTATAGAAACCAGGGGGTATAGTGTAAAGGAGTTGCTTCAATTTGTAGATTGGTATCATCAGCTTCCCGAGGAACCACTACTAAAATGGATTGTGAGAATGACTAATTTAGGGGCAGTGTCTTTAGTTTTGAATGCCGCAGAATGGAAGAGTAGGTTTGGGTTGATGCAAGACCCACAACTTACTATGGAACAGTCACGAATGATGATACAAGATCCAGTTATACAGCAGGTTACCCCAGAGGAGATGGCCAGCCTGATAGACTGGATAAAATATGCGGTGAGATTTGTTTACCCTGAGAAGGGAAACTGCCCCCTCCCCCTCTAAATACCCAATGGAACATTCCAGAGGAAGCAGCTGATGCATTGCTTATGCAAGCCATGCTGGAATGGCTTTATGTTGATCATGATATTCATCTAATGAGTATGCTCCTTACACAGCTCATGGTAGATATGGTAATCAAAGGAGCCCCTTCTAAGTGGGTACCTCATGTAACCTTGCTACTTGGAAACAAAGTAACAACCCGAGAAGACTTGTGGGATCTGTTGGCACAGCATCCCCGAGTGGGTCTTACAGATGCAAGAAACATAGGGTTGATTTATAGGAGAATGGGAAGAGGCAGTGGGGAAAGAACTTCCCCAGCAGGAAAGAGATTTTTAGGCAGTTACTAAGAAACAGAATGAATATAGCAAACACTGATGGAGTTGAGACAAAGGTTCTAAGGCAGCACTACAAGAGGTTGGGTGGACCAGTGGAAATTCCCGCTGGTCCCCCAATGTTAAAGAGGCCTAAACAAGTCCATCCTATTCACCTCAGCTGGGAAGTATTTAATGATGGGAATTCCTACCTGGGACCATCTGAAGCAGAGGCTCAGCTGGGTGGTCAAGATACGGATCCATAAGAGGGCCAGGGTCTTCTGGTCTGGCCCCCAGCAGGGGACCCAAGGCCATATGCACATGTGTGGGTGAAATGGCCTGGGGGTGAGAAAGAGAACTTCTTGGGGCTCCTGGACACAGGAGTTCAATGTACATGTACAGTAATTCCAAAATCTGTCAATAAAATCTTGAAGGGGCCTAAGGTTAGACTGGGAGGATGTGGTGATGCAACGGTTGATGGGCCTAAGGTGAAAGTTTGGATGAGAATTGGAAAATTTAAATAGATCTTGTATGAAGTAGTTGTATCTCCCTTGCCTGAATGTATTATTGGAATGGCTATTATGTCTAATTAGGGAACACTCCTTCTACCTGATGTTGTAAAACTGAAGGCATGTAAATCTGTCCTTAGGCCAGTATTGATTGGACATGCTAAATGGGAACCATTAGAATTGCCTGAACTCACTCAGGTTGTTAATTTGAAACAGTATAGGATATCTGGTGGACAAAAGGAGATTTCTGCCTTGATTAAAGACATGCTAAAGGCTGGAGTATTGGTGCCAACAAATTATCTGTATAACAGCCCTGTATGGCCTGTGAAAAAGGCAGATGGCTCATGGAGGCTGACAGTAGACTACAGAGGCCTGTTTAACGTAGTGCCACCTATGGCTTCAACTATTCCAGACCTGGTCTTGTAACTCCCACCCACGTGATTGTGTGACAGCGTAATTGTGGCCTTCCAAGGGGATTGATCAGTTTTGCCTTAAAAGAGAGGCAGTTCTAGAACAGAGAGGGAGAGCCCACCACCACCAAAGAAGGAGGGACCTGCAGGAGATGGTGCGGTGGGCTTCCTGGCCCATGGAGCAAGAAAGCTGAGTGCCTTTGGGCAGAGACTGAGGGCCAGACTAAGAAATCTATGCCTGACTCATGAATTTCAGACCTGCCAGCCTCCACAACCACATGAGCCATTTCCTTTATATGGTTTGTGAGTTCTGTGAGATGTTGCAGGGAATTCGGGAACCGAAAGACAGAAGGGAGAGTGCTGAGGCGAGAGGGAGTAGCTGATGTTAGAGATGATGGAGTGGTATAGCAGCTTGGAAAAGTTAGACATTTGGGACATCTTTAACGTCCACCTCACAGGAACCAGCTTTGTGCTGATCCTTATAAAAGAAATTATTCGTTTAACCCTCAACGAGATGGATTGACACAGTGGCTCCAACAATGGACCCAAGCATAACAACGATTGTGAGGATGGCACAGGACCAGGCAGTGTTTCATTCTGTTGTACATAGGGTCGCTATGAGTCCGAATCAACTCAACAGCACCTAACAACAACATGTTAAGCAGGTGCCTACTTCCCCCAATATTCTTTCTTAAAGTCAAGTTTATTGAGGTATCATTTACATATAGTAAAATTCACCCTTTTTAATGTATGGTTCTGTGAGTTTTGACAAATGTATACACTCATGTAACCATCACCATAATCAAGATATAGAACAGCTCCATCATCCAAAAAACTCCTTTGTGCTCCTCTCTAGTCAACTGCTCCATCCCCAGGCAGATCTGTTTTCTGCCCCCATTGTTTTGCTTTTTTTGAGAATGTCCTATAAATTGAATCACAACAGTTTATAGCCTCTTGAGTTTGGCCTCTTTCACTTAGAACAATGCATTTGAAGGACATCCATGTTGTTGTCATGTATTAGTAGTTTGTTCCTTTTTAGAGCAGAGTAGTAGACTATTGTGTGAATGTACTGCAATGTATTTATCCACTCATCAGTTGAGGGAAGCTTGGGTGGATTCCAGCTTTTGGTTATTATGAATAAAGCCACTATAAACATTTACATACAGGTATTTAGGTGAACATAAGTTTTCATTTCTCTTGGATAAATACCTAGCAGAGGGATTGTTGGGTCATAAAGTAAGTTCATGTTTAATTTTATAAATAGCTGCCAAACTGTTTTCCAAAGTGGTTGTACTTTTGCATTCCCACTAGCAATGTATAAGAGTTCTAGTTGTTCCATGTTTCTCACCAGTGTTTGGTTTGTCTGCTTTTTAATTTGAGCTATTTTAATAGGTGTGTAGTGGCATCTCATTGTGGCTTTAATTTGCACTTCCCTGCTGACTAATGATGTTATGCGTACTTTCATGTATCTATTTACCATCCATATATATTTTCTGGTAGAGTGTTCAAATATCTAATCCATTTTGCTTGTTTTCTTATTACTGGGTTTTGAGACTTCTTTATATGTTCAGGATAAAAGTTATTTCTTAGATATTTTTTTGAAAATATTAACTCCCAATCTGTGGCGTGTCTTTTCATTTTCTTAAGAATGTCTTTAAAAGAGAAATTTTTAATTTTGATGAAGTCCAATATATTAATTTTTTTGCTTTTATAGATTATGCTTTCATTGTTGTATCCAAAAAGTCTTTGACTAACCCAAGGACACTAAAGATTTTTCCCCTTCATTTTCTTCTAAAAGTTTTATAATTTTAGGTTTTGCAGTTAGTTCTGTGATCCACTTTGAGTTGATTTTTTTATATGGTGCAAGGTGGTGCTGTGTGCAACCAAGTTGATTTTCAACTCATAGCAATCCTATGTGACAGAGTAGAACTGTCCCATAGGGTTTTCTTGGCTGTAATCTAAGGAAACAGATTGCCAGGTCTTTCCCCCACAGAGCTGCTAGGTGGGACTGAACTGTCAACTTTTAGGTTAGCAGCTGAGTGCTTAACCATTGGTGGAACCATGGCTCCTTATGGTGCAAAGTATAGGTCAAGACTTATTTATTTTTGAATATAAATGTCCAGTTGTTCCAGTACTATTTGTTGAAAAGATTATCCATTCTCCATATAACTGTCTTTGTTCCCTTGTTAAAAACTATCTGGCCATGTATGTGTAGGTCTATTTCTGTACTCTCTATTCTGTTCCATTGTTTTCTGTGTTTATACTTTTGCCAATACCACATTGTCCTGATTAGTGTACTTTTATAGTAACTCAGGCAATGTGAGTCTTCCTATGTGTCTTTTTTCTTTATCTTCAAGCTTTTCTCTTTATCTTTGATTTTCAGCAGTTTGAATATGATATTTTTAGGGGTGTGTGTGTGTCTCTGTGTGTGTGTGTGTGTGTGTGTGTGTGTGTGTGTTGTATTTGTCCTGTTTAGCATTCTGTGAGCTTCCTGGACCTGTGGTTAGATGTCTTTCGTAATTTTTGGAACATTCTTGGCCATTTTCTCTTCAAATGTTTCTTCTTCCTCATTCTCCCTATTCTCCTTCTGGAATTCTAATTACACATTTGTTAGAATATTTGATATTGTTTCACAGTTCTTAGTTGGTCTGGGTCCCCTTCCCCTCCTCCTTTTTTTCTCTTTCTATTTCAACTGGGTAATTTCCTTTGACCTATCTTCAAGTTCATTAGTTCCTTCCTTGGTGGTGTCTATTTGACTGATGAGCCCATTAAAGGAATTCTTTGTATGTGTTACCATGTCTTTTATTCTAGCCTTTCCATATGATTTTTTTCTTAAACTTTCCAACTTTCTGCTGAAATTAGCCATCTGTTGATGCATGTTGTCTCTTTTTTCACTCAGCCTTTAGCATGTTAATCATAGTTATTTAAATTCCCTGTTTGATAGTTCCAACTTTGGGTCATCTCCGAGTCTAGTTTTGTTGATTATTTTGTCTCTTGACAGTGAGTTGCTTGTGTGTGTGTGTCTCATACAGAAGATTTACATAATATCCAAAGTCTCAAAAAATAATACCCAAAATGTCAAGGTTTTGATTAAAAATCAGTTGTCATAACAAGGGCAAGGGAGATGTCAAACTGAATGAAATAAGACAATCAGTAGATGCCAACACCGAGAAGACAGCTATGTTAGAATTTTATGAAAAAGATTTTAAAACGGCCATTAAAAAAATGATTTCATGAGAAATTATAAACACACATGAAGCAAATGAAAAAAATTCAGTCTCAGCAAAGAAAAATAAAGTCTCTAAAAAAAAATACAACATATAGAAAATAATCAAATGGAAATTTAAATCTGGAAAGTACAATAACTGAATTACAAAACTCAGTGGATGAGCTCAGAGGGAAGTGGAGGAGACAGAGGAAAGAATCAAAGAAATGGAAGATAGAAAAATAGAAATACTTAATTTGAACAACAGAAAGAAATAGACTGGAGAAAAATGAACAGAGCTTTAGGGAGCTGTGGAACTATAATACAAGATCTAATATTTGTGTCACTAGAATCCTGGAAAGAAAAGAAAAAGAGGGCAAAGTTGAAAAAACACTCAAAGAAATAATGACCGAAAACTCCCTAAATTTGGCAAAAGGCATAAACCTACAGATTCAAGAAGATGAGTGAACTCCAAACAGGATAAACCCAAAGAAATCCACACCAAGACATATCATAGTCAAATACCTTTAAAAAAGTCAAATTTCTAAAAATTAATGACAGAAAAAATCTTGAAAGCAGCAAGAGAGAAACAATGTGTTACCTATAAGGGAAAAGGAATTTGAATGACAGCAGATGTCTCATCAGAAACCATGGAAGTCAAAAGGAAGTACCACAATATTTTTCAAATGCTGAAAGGAAAGAACTGTCACCCAGAATCCTATATCTAGCAAAAGTATCTTTCAAAATGAAAGAGAAATCAAGACATTCTCAGATGAACGGAAATTAAGAAATTTTCACCAGTATATCTACCATTAAAAAAAAAAATGGCTAAAGAAAGTTCTCAAAACAGAAAGGAAATAATAAAAGAAAGAACCTTGCGATATCAGGAAAGAAGAGAGAAGACAGTAAGCAAAAATATGGGTAAAAACAATAGACTTTTGTTTCCTCTTGAGTTTCCTAACTTGTATTTGATTACTAAAACAAAAATTATAACACTTTTGCATGTGATTTTAAATGTATGCAGAGGAAATACTTAAGACAATTATAAAAAAGGGAATGTAAACAGACATTAAGGGAGGTAAGGTTTTTATACTTCAAATAAACTATAAAATAACAACACCAGTAGGCTGTGATAAATTACATGTATATTATGTAATATCTAGAGCAATCATTAAAAAACTATACAAACACACAAAAAAACACAATTGTTGTTGTTAGTTAGTTGTGATCAAGTTGATTCTGACTAATGCTGACCCCATGTGTGCAGAACAGAACTGCTCCATAGGATTTTCAAGGTTGTGACTTTTAGGAAGCAGATTGCCCAGGCCTGTCTTTTGAGGTGCATCTGGGTGGCTTTGAACCACTGACCTTTTGGTTAGTAGTCAAGCACTTAACCATTTGTGCCACCCTGGGACTAAACACATATGCACACACACAATAGATAAATCAAAATGGAATTATGAAAAATGCTCAAGTAACCTACAGGAATGTAGGGAAAATCTCAGAAAAATGGAAAACAGAAATTAAACAAAAAATAAAATGGTAGACTTTATCTTAACATATCAATAATTACATTATCTGTAAATGGTCTAAATATAACAATTACGAGACAAAGATTGGCAGAGTAGTTAAAAAATGTGGCTGACTATACTGTCTACAAGAAACTCATTCAAATATAATGACATAGACCTATTGAAAGTAAAAGAATGGAAAGATATATCTTGCAAACATTAATCAAAGGAAAGCAAAGATAGCTATATTCATATTAAAAGAAGTAGACTTCAGAGCAAAGAAAATTGCCAGAGACAGAGGGGGACATTATATAATGATAAAAGATTCAATCCACCGAGAAGGCACAGCAATCCTAAATCTGGATGCAACAAACAACAGAGCTGTAAAATATGTGAAGCAAAACTGATAGAACTGAAAGAAAAAATAGACAAATACACAATCATAGCTGAAAACTTCAACATCCCTGTCTCAACAATTGCTAAAACAACTAGGCAGAAAACCAGCAAGGCTATAAAGCCATAATACGATCAACCAATGGGGACCTAATCAACATCTGCAGAACACTCTACCCAACAACAGCAGGACACATATTCAAGAGTTCACTGAATACAGACTAAGGTAGACCATATACTAGGCCATGAAACAAACCTTAACAAATTACAAAGAACTGAAATAATACAGATTGTGTTCTCTGAACACAATGGAATCAAACTAGAAATCAGTAACAGAAGTATAAGAGGAAAACCAACACTTTAAAACTAAATAATATACTTCTAAATAATCTAAAGGGCTATCTCAAGGGAAATAAAAAACACTGAACTGAATGAAAATATATCAAAATTTGTAGAGCAAAGTTAAAGCAGTGCTGAAAGGGAAATTATAGCACTAAATGACTGGATCAGAAAAGAAGAGTCTCAAATCAAGAATCTAAGCTCCCACCTCAAAAACCTAAAAAAAGAATTCCACAATTAACCCAAAGTGAGGAGAAAGGAGGAAATAATAAAGAGCAGAAATCAATGAAATTGAAACAGAAAAATATTACAGAGAAAAATCAATGAAACAAAAAGCTGTCTTTTTGAAAAGATTTTAAAAAAAAAGGCAAACCTTAGCAAGGCTGACAAAGAGAGAACAGACAAATTACTAATATCAGCAATGAAATAGAAAATGCATCTTCTAGATATCAAAGGAATAGCAAGGGAATACTGCAAATAACTCTACACATATAAATTTGACAACTTAAATAAAATGGACCAATTATTTGGAGGGGGAAGAAAACTACCACAACTCACCCAATGTGAAATAGATATTTGAATAGTCCTGTAACTATTAAGGAAGTTTCGTCATAATTTTAAAAACTCTCAAAAGCGAAATCTCTAGAACAAGATTGTTCACTGGTGAATTCTACAAAATGTTTAAAGAATAATTACGTAGTAGCAGAGCAGGGAACAGTCTCCAATTCATGTTATGAAGCTAGTATTACCCTGACATGAAAACCAGACAAAGACAGTACAAAAAAGAAAACTATAGACCAGTATCTCTCATGAGTATAGATGCAAAAATTCTTATGAAAATAGTAGGAAATAGAATTCAGCAACATGTGAAAAATTATACACCATGACCAAGAGAGGTTTATTCTAGGGATGCAAGAATATTTCAGTATTTAAAAATCAATCAACATAATTCACCATATTAACAGGCTAAAGAGGAAAAATCATATGCTTATGTCACCTGATGCAGAAAAAGCATTTAACATAATTCAGCATTCATTCATGATAAAAACTCTCAGAAAAATAGGAATGGAGGGAAACTTCCTCAACTTTAAAGAAGTCTACAGCTAATATTATACATAATGGTAAAAGATGCTTTCTCCCTAAGATCAGGAACAAGGAGAGAATGAATCTCTCACCACTCTCATCCAAACAGCGTTGGAAGTTCTAGTCAGTATAATAAAACAAGTAAAGGCATTAGATTGCAAAGGAAGGAATACAACTGTCCTTATTTGCAGATGACACGATTGTTTACATAGAAAATCCCAAGAAATCCACAAAAACTTCCTAGAACTAATAAGTGAGTTCAGCAAGGTCACATGATACAAGATAAACATACAAAGATCAACTGTATTTCTATATACCAGTAATGAAAACATGGGCACCAAAATCAAGAGAACAGTATCATTTACGATTACTCAAAAAAAAAGAAAAGTGAAGTAATTAGACACAAATCTAACAAAATATATGCATGATTTTTATGCTGAAAATTATACAATGCTGACAAAAGAAACAAAAAAAATCTAAATAAGAAATATACTGTGTTCATAGGTTGTACGACTCAATATAGTAAAGATGTCAAATCTTCCCAAATTAATATACAACTTTAACCCAATTGCTATAAAAAATCTCAGCAAAGTATTTTGTAGATACAGACAAAACTATTCTAAAATTTATATGGGAAGACAAAGGAATTAGAATAGTTAAAACAATTTTGAAAAAGAAGAATATAGTTGAAGGAATCAGCCTACCCAGTTTCAAGACCTGTTATATAGGTAATCAAGACTGTGTGGTATTGACGGAGGGATAGACAGAACAACGGAACAAAACAGAAGATGCTAAAATACACCCACACTTAATTTTTAACAAAGGTGCCAAAGTAATTCAGTGGACCCTTTTCAACAAGACCAATTGGGCATCAACAGGCAAAGAAAAATGAACCTCAGTCTAAGTCTTAACACCTGATACAAAAATTAACTCAAAATGTAAAACATAAAACTATGAAATTTTTAGAAAAAAGCATAAAAGAATATCTTTGGGATCTAGAACTAGGCAAAGAGTTTTTAGACTTGACACCAAAAGTGTGATCCATAATAGAAAAAAACTTGATAAACTGTACTTCAGCAAAATTAAAAACTTGCTCTGTGAAAGACCCTATAAAGGATCAAAAGACAAACTACAGACGGGGAGAAAATATTTGCAAATCACACATCCAACAAAGGACTAGTACCTACAGCACAGAACGAACTCTCAAAATTGAGCGGTAAAAAATAAACAACCCAATCAGAAAATGTCCAAAGAGGATATACAGATGGCAAATAAGCACAGGAAAAACACGTTCAGCATCGTTAGCCATTAGGGAAACGCAAATCAAAACTGCCATTAGATATCACTACACACCTATCAGAATGGTTAAAATAGGAAAAAAAAAAAAATAGTAACAACATGAAATGCTGGTGAGGATGCAGAGAAACTGGATCACTTAAAATTGTGGATGGGAACATAAAATGGTACAGCCACTCTGGAATACAGTTCAGAAGTTTCTTAAAAAAAAAACTTCTAACAACCACATGACGAAGCAATTTCATTCCTGAGCATCCACCCCTCCCAGAGAAATGAAAAATGTTCACGCAAAAACCTGTACAGGAATGCTTACAGCAGCTTTATTCATAATAGCTAAAAACTGGAAACAACCCAGGTGTCCTTCAATGGGTGAATGGTTAAACAACTGTGGTACAATAATACTGTGAAATGCTACTCAGCAAAAAAAAGGGAACTATTGATACCACAACCTGAATGAACCTCCAGAGAATTATGCTGAGTGAAAAAAGCCAATCTGAAAAGCTTACGTACTATGTGATTTCATTTAAATAACATTCTTGAAATGACACAATTATAGAAATAGAGAACAGATTAGTGATTGCCAGCAGTTAAGAAGGGTGTGCAGTAGGAGGGAGGTGGGTGTGGTTATAAAAGTACAGTATAACATAAGGAATCCTTGCGGTGATGGAAATGTTTTGTATCTTGGCTGTATCAATATCCTGCTTGTGATCTTGTTTTGTAAGATGTTATCATTGGGGAAAAGTAAGTAAAAGATCCATGGGATCTCTCTGTATTACTTCTTACAACTGCATGTGAAACTACAATTATCACAAAATAAAATGTTTAATTAAAAGAAAGACACCATTAAGAGAGTGAAATGCCAAGCCATGGCACTGGAAAAAAATGATTTGCAAAATATATATAACTGATGAAAGATCAGTACTCAGAATATATAAATAATTTCTATAAATCACTCAGAAAAAGACAACCTCATCTAAAAAAAAAGGGTTAAAATCTCAAATCACTTTACAAAAGAGTATACTCAAATGATCAATATATGTATCAAAAACCTGCTCAACTTTGTTGTTACACAATAGATGGTCCCGGATAAATGGGAGAAAAATGTAGAACGAACCTCAAATTCCTAAAAAAGGCCAGACTTATTGAATCAATAGAGACTACAGGATCCCCTAAGACTATCGCCCTGAGACAGCCTTTAAATTTAGAACTGAATCCACTCCCGGAGGTTACCTTTCAGTCAAATAATAGATTGGCTCATAAAATAAACAATATCACTAGTGAGTACTGTGCTTCTTTTAAATAATCATCTATATGAGACCAAACGGGCAATATTTACCCTAAAGCAAAGATGAGAAGGTAAGGGAGGGCAAGGAAGCTAGAGTAATAGAAACAGAACAACCAGAATGGAAATAATGAGAATGCCGACACATTGTTAAAAAATGTAACCAATGACACTGAACAATATGTATAGAAATTGTTCATTGGGAACCTAATTTGCTGTGTATAAACTTTCACCAAAAATACAATTAAAAAAAAAAAAAGAAGATAAGGGGGCAGGGAAACTAGAGTATTGGAAATAGAACAACCAGAATGCAATTAAAGAGAATGTTGTCGCACTGTGAAAAATGTAAACAATGTCACTGAAAAATTTATGTAGAAATTGTCAAATGAGAACCTAGTTTTCCGTGTAAACTTTCACTGAAAGCACAATAAAATATATTTTTTTAAATAAGCAAAATAAAATTCACATCTAATCTAATTACCCCCCACCAAAAAAAAAAAAGTTCACGGTTGGTAGGGCAGCTCTGCCAGATTCAACATAGAGTTCCATCTCTGACCCCAAGGTGACTTCCTCAGCTCTCCTTGTCATACCTGTATCCCATCTAGCTGGAAGATGGAGGCCATTCTCCTTTCCTCTTGAGAGAGAGCACAACCTAGAAGCTTTCCTCTCTACTTCTGCTTACATTGTCATTGTCCAGAACCTGGTCACATGGTACACCTAGCCATAAGGAAGCCTGGGAAATGTTGTTAGCTGAACTGCTGTATGCCCACTGAAATTCTTACTACTATGGAAGTAGGGAAGAATGAACACTGAGGACAACTGATAGTCTCTGCTCCAGCCTACATCATACGATCCTCTCCAGCCTCATCTCCTCCCTCTCTCTCTCCCTTCTTTATGGCCCTCCAACCACACTGGCCTTCTTGCTCATTCCTGCCTTAGTCCTCAGGGCCTTTGTCCCTGTGCTGTCCTATATCTGGGATTCTGTTCCCTAAATGGATTGACACAGTGGCTGCAACAATGGGCTTAAACATAGCAACGATTGTGAGGATGGTGCAGAACCCAGCAGTGTTTCCTTCTGTTGTACATAGGGTGGCTATGAGTTGGAACTGACTCGATGGCATCTAATAACAATTCCCTACGTCTTTACATGACTGGCTCTTTCTCATCATTTGGATCTCAGATCAAGAATTATACCTCTTCTGAGAGACATTCCCTGATCTTTGCCCCAAAAGCAAAGTAACCCCCCTCCTTATCACTCTCTAATGCATGTTGTTTTATTTCTAGCACTTATGACTAGCTTACTTTGCCATTTATTTACCTACTTATTATCTATGTTTTACACTAGAATGTAAATACCAAAACAACATAAATGTTGTCTGCCTTGTTTTCTGTTGGATCCTCAGCACCTAAATGGCGCCTTGGATAAAGCAAATTTGACAAACATTGGATGGATGGAGGATTTAATTTAGCCAAAACCCTTCATAACCGGGAAAGCTGAGGCTCAAAGAAGGTAAATGGCTTGCTCAAGGTTCTGCAACTAGTTAGTAGAACTAGTTAGTAGATTCCCATGTCGAAGCTTTTCTGTAACATACCCCATTTCCTCCAGCTGCCTCTTTGAGGTCTTCTAGCTCACCCCTCAGTGATCATTCCTCTGAACTCTGATAGCATGAGATTTTTAACATTCACTTGGTTTTTATGCTATGCCACTTTGCATTGTCTTTTGTTAGCAATATAATCTGTCACTATTATATCTGCCTTATTTCCCCAGCGAAACTGTAAGCCCTCTGAAAATACCAACCTTCTAACTACACACAGAGTACAGTCCCTCAGTAAGCGTTTTACAAAGATGGCTAATGTTACTTTATTCAGTAAAGTGAAACTCAGTATCATTATAACTTGTGTCTTGTCCTATTACTGAGGATAAAAGTCGGATACTAGAAGGCTTGATTTTCTGGAGAGGTAACTTCTGTGCATCCCCAACTAAACAAAGAGTCAAGAGTATCTGTCTTACCTGCAGCTGGAATCTTGCGTGCTTCATCAAAGCTATGCAGAGGAGCTGCTCTGGGTGTAATGGGTGGATTCTGAAAGGTAATCCTTGCTGTTGGTGGAATCAGTCCTCGCTCCATCATACTTAAAATCCCTAAAAAGGAAAGTTAACAGAATATAAGTTCAACTCCAACCATTTCCACAAAGTCTAAACTCTATAAATTTCATGAGTATAACCTACTCTATTCTTCATCTTATTTGTGAGGCTACATCTTGTGCCTTTATTCCCTTGCATGAAAAAATAGCAACAGTGCATGTTCATTTAAGTCTAATATTCTAGCCCAAGGAAAAAATAGCATTCCCAATAGCAGTAATATGAAATAAAATTGCACTAACATTACTCCATTTTAAGGTAGAAATATAATTTCAAAGCAAACTAAAACTTCTTTATACTCATGACATTTTCAATTATTGGTAATACTGTTACTCTTTTTAAAATTCAGAGAAATCAGGTACCCATTCTTAATACCTAAGAAGATTCTTTGTTCTGAAAGAAATAAAATCCATGTACTTGAAACCATGTCCCTGTAGTTATAATCAGTCATGTTTTATAAAAGAAGGAGTTATTTTTGGATATTTTTCATATGACCCACAGATGTGACTGCCCAGATAGATTATTCTAATGGAAATGGGCAACATGGTTAGTACTAATGCAACTAATAATTTCTAGAATTCATACTGTGTCAGCATGGCTGGTGTCAAGACTTTTTAAGGACAAAAGACAGTGTTAAATAAATAAATGAAGAATTGAACAAAGCCTGTTGTCAGGGGCAAAACTTTCATTAAGGTAGATCTACTGTACTGAGCCCTGGTGGTGTAGTGGTTAAGAGCTTGGCTGCTAATCAAAAGGTCAGCAGTTCAAATCTACCAGCTGCTCCTTGGAAACCTTATGGGGCAATTCTACTCTGTCCTATAGGGTCACTGTGAGTCGGGATCAACTTGATGGCAATGGTTTTTTTAAAATTGTATTGAAGCCAGAAACCCAGAAATTCATTGGGTACTTGAAATAAACCTGTGGTAGGGCTTCAGCTTCTTTTTGCTACTGTATGTTATAGGAAGAAAAGTGAAGAGCTCTGGGCCTCAAGAAATTCTAGAATACAAACTGTGTATACCAAGCTGGACTAAGTTGAAGAAGCTGGCATGCATTCTAAGAGGGCCCAGTATTATTTCCATTCGCCTTATGACTTCTATTACTATATTATGTTACTATTAAGGATGTTAAAATTTACTGCTACAGGAATTCAGAAGAATGATCACTAAGGGTCTGGAGAGCTGAAGTAGACTTCACTTGTAAAATAAAGAGATCTTCAGTTTACTTACTGCAGAACCATTTTGGGGAGAGAATTTCTTATTAAAAGTAAAAATTTGGGGGCCCCATTACAGACCTGTCTAAACCACTGACATCAGGGCGTAGGAATCTGTATTACTGAAGCTTTCCAGGAGATACACATGTGCCCTGAAGTTTGAGAATCCCTGGAATTGGGGCCCACTAGCAATCTACATTTTAAATAAGCACTTCAGGTCAATCTTTTGTACTCTGAAAACTTAAGAACTACTACTGATCCAGAGCACAGCTCTCCAAGTCCTGTTTGAAATTAGTATTTTAGGTTTTAATTTTTATAGCCCTAGATTTAACTACCTTAAACTATTAAAACTAGTTCTTTGCCTTCACAAATATTTTCCACCTATAAATATCAAATCCCCTTTCAAGAACTATTTCTGCTTTGCAGATGTGAGAAGAATTCCTCATAATTCAGTGTATTTTCATTTCTAGAGTCAGTTTCATTCTTTGAGAATTCCAAAAAACACAAGCATGATATATATATATGGGTATTTTTTTTTTCCTCCTTGGAAACCCTATGGGGCAGTTCTACTTTGTCCTACAGGGTTGCTAGTTGCTATAAGTCCAGAATCAACTCTATGGCAACGGGTATTTTTTATACACAACAAAACATGCATCACTTCAATAATTTCCACATGTACAATTCAGTGACATTGGTTACATTCTTCAAAATACACCACCTGTCTTGACAACCTTTTTAAAACTATTTCACCATCATTCGCACAAACTCTTGCCCCATTAAGCTTCTCATCTATCCTTCTGAGTTATTATCAATTTGATCACATAGTTTTTTTAAAGAGTATAATGCCTAATGCAGACAATCTTTTCTAATTAGACTAAACTATTATTTGATTCAAAGATGACTTCAGAGGATAGTTTCAGTTCAAGGTTTAAAGATTTCCTCAGGGTAGTAGTTTTGAGGTCGGGGGGAGGTGTCATCCAGCCTTAATGGCTCCAGAAAGTCTGGGTTCCATGAGAATTTGAGATTCTGTTCTGCATTTGCCTCTTTTTGATCAGGATTCTTCTACAGAATCCTTGTTCTCAATGTTCAGTATTGGTAGCTAGGCATCACCCAGTTCTGGTCTCATGGCAAAGGAAGCAGTTGTTCATGGAGGCAATTAGACACATATTTCATTTCCTCCACCAATTCCTGACCCTCCTTCTTCCTCTGGTGCTCCCAGACCAATTGTACTTTGGATGACTGCTGACAACTTTTAAGAACCCAGGCACTTCACAACAAACTAGGAGGTAGAAGAGAAGCACCACAATCAATATCAGGCCAGCAATTCACTTAACTTTAGACACACATAGATGTGTGGGCATTGACCATTGTAAGGAAAAAGTTAAGACTTTGAAATAAGAGGTTACTGGGTATCTTTTCATTGGAATGCTAACATCTCTGAGGATTATCTGATTCTTTAGGGCTATGCACTTTTGTCTTTCGTTAGTCTACAACTCTGTAGACTAGACATTAAGATTAATTTGTCAAAATCTGATAGCAATGCAAATAATTCTTGTCTATGTTCATGCAATTAAATTCTGTCCTATTGAGGGACAACCCTTCCTCTACCCCCACTCCAAAGCCAGTTTTGCATCCATCTGCAAATTTATTTCAATATTCTTGATTTCTAAATGTGTCTGTTTTTTGTATTCTCCTTTGAACTGATTGTAATATCTTGTTATAATTGGCTGAGAAACAAGAGAGAGTACGCTTAGTCTTTTGTTTATCCATTTGTCTATTTTTAGTTCAAATCAATTAGCAATTTCATGAGCACAAGGAAAAAGGACAGTTCTTTGATATCAGGACTGGTTAAGTTTTTGTGTTTCTGTGTTTATTTTTGATCTGTGGCTGAAATTATAGAATTGAGGCTATAAGCTCTCTGTGTATCTTTATGTCTAAAACCCACTGGCGTCGAGTCGATTCCAACTCATAGTGACCCTATATGACAGAGTAGAACTGCCCCATAGGGTTTCCAAGGAACACCTGGTGGATTCGAACTGCTGACATTTTGGTTAGCAGCCATAGCTCCTAACCACTATGCCACCAGGGTTTCTATCTTTATGTCCAGGTATTTGTAATTCAGAAAGACCTTTACCTCTCGTTGTGAGTGTGTAGTGTTTTCCTTCTCTAGGAGCCCTGGTGGTGCAATGGTTAAGCAATGGCCTGCTAACCAAAAGACTGTAAGTTCAAACCCACCCAGAGGCTCCATGAAAGAAAGACCTGGCAATTTGCCTCCAAAAAGATTACAGCCATGAAAACCCTATGGGGCAGTTCTACTAGTCACATGTTGTCGCTATGAGTCGGAAATCAACTCAATAGCACCAAACAGCAACAACAGATAGTACTGGTAAATTAGATTGCAAACTCTCTTAAATTAAAGAAGCGATGTTCAATTGGCTTATAGAGAAAAATAAGTGCTTATATAAACTGAATATTCTTTTAAATTCCCAGGAAATAAAGAAATAGGACTTGTAATACTTTAAATGTCTCCCCACTCCCCATGCTCCCCAGTTCAGAAATTCTCATTGAGTCTCCTTATTTTTCATGGCAATAGTTATTTGCAAAGTTTCAATATAAATCAATTCTCCTTTCACTAGGATATAACTGGAAAAATTATTCATGCAACCAAGGTCTTGCCTGGAATTTCATATTTGAGAATGACTATTATTTAATCAGGTATGACAAATCACTTTTAAAGAACTAAGGTTGACTTTATGGAGTCAATACTTACAAATCCCTCCCAGGTAAACTGGCATGATAAATGGCTTACAGCATTCCCATCTTTACAGGTGGTAAGGAAGGTCACTTCCTGACAGGCCCAAGAACCTTAGGATATTTGGAGGACCTCTGCAAGAGAGGAATTTATCTAAATGTACAGTTCCTGCAGTTGAAATCTGGTGAACAGAGTTTCTTGGGCTTGATTTCCTAGTCTCAGTATAGAAAATAATAAAGGCTTTTAAAAGTTTGAATTGAGATTCCTTATGACGGCCTATACGGTAAATTAACATTCTAGCTGCACCTATGTAAATAATCAGACGAAACCTAATGAGACCAGCCTTATTTTGCGATTAAGAATAACTTTTTTTTTTTTTTTTGAGATCACTGTGGTCAAAAAGGGGAAACATTGTTAAAAAAAAATTTTTTTTTAAGACTTTGGAATAAGCAAAAGAGATTACTGGATACCTTCCTCAATGGAATGCTGAAGCCTCCAAGTATTATCTGAACCTAGCCTTTGACTAGGCTATTTTATAGCTCTGTAGAGATTAAGGTTAATTTGGGGGAGTGGGGAGAGAGAACAATGCAAGTAAATTCTGTCTGGTGAAGGAGTAACTCTCTTCCCCATGACAAAGCCAACTCTGCATTCATTTGTAAATTTATTTCAATATTTCTGATCTATAAATGTGTCTATTCTTTGGAGTCTCCTTTGAACCAGTTGTGAGATTTTACCCTGCTCCCTCATTTAATTGCTGAGTTAAATAAAATCTTTGACATGTGTTCATTTTATTTATATTTGTGAGAGTCATGATTTTACTCATTTTTGAAAATTATTCTTTAAGACCATTGTCTCATTAAATTCTCATAACACTTTTATGAGGTTGGCATTATTTTCCTGTTGAATAGATTAGAAAACAGAAGCTCATTTAATTGGTCATTCATTCAGCTAATATTTATTAAGTGCCTATTATGTGTCAGGAACCATTATGGGGGCTGGAGATGCAGTAGTGAACCAAAGAGACTTCATGGAGCTTCTAGCAGTGGAAAAGACATTAAATAAATATACAATGACAAATTGTGATAATCTACGAAGAAAAAGAACACGCACCCAAGGAAGTGATTTTTACAGGAAGAGATAAAAACACTTGTGAAGGCCTAACATGCTTGGCCTGATAAGAAACAGAGAGAAGGCCCATGTGGCTGGAGCCCAGAGTCAAGGGGAGAGTGGTGTGAGAGGAGACTGGAGACCAGGTGGGGGCCAGGTCAGGCACACCTTCTTTATGGTGGTAGAGTTTATCCTAGGATCAGAGAACAGCTTGCCTGAGACCACACAGAGCCTAAATTTAAAATGTGGTCTGTGTGCTGTGAAACTTAGATTCTTAACCATTTGGAAAAACAAAATGCTTTCTTTTTTGGATTTAACCCAATAACTCAAGAAAAAGTAGCGAAAATTACCCTGTATTTTCTGAAATGATCCTCTTTTCTGGTTGTTAATCTTTTACCTCATGCTGGACTTTTGCAGACCTGGAGTGAGACTTAAATGACAACTAAGGGCCCCAAGAGCACCTAAAAAAATTGGAGAAGTTGTCTCTACACTTCTATGGTTTGTTCTTTCCTGACGCTTACACTGCCTTGCACCAGTACCAGACAAATGGCATGTACTCAATAAATACATGTTGATTAATTATAAATATTATGGTAGGCCATGTGTTCTTTGACAGAAAATTTAGGGATGAAAATGTGATTTTTTTCAGGGCCAAGTTGCTGTAATTCTAGATTTACTTTGTTTTGTAGCAATTTTTTTTTTTTAATTGTGTCTATTGCTAAAGCAAGGGTTGGTTGATTCATCCTAATTTGATACAGGAAGAATGTAAGAGGGTTCTAAAGCCAGAAATGGAAACTCTGATGATGTTATTCAGTATTCTTTGGGAATAAATATTATGCAGACTAACAAAAGTAGCAAAAACTATAATACAAATTACTTATTTGCTATTTATATTCCCTGTGCGTGTATACACACACACATATGTACACATACATACATTAATTGAAAACATATGTTACAGAGTTTCTGAACAATGGTTCATGACTAGGAAAGTAATAGTTACATTATGGGGAGTTTAAGAAATTAAGAGATTCCACTAGTGATCCTGGGTTCTGTTGAGTTTTGCTATATAGTCCACCACCAGGCTAGCAGGCAGTCAGAGGACACAGTAGCTAGAAGATGGAGGACTTTGAATCTCTAGGTGCCAGATCTCCTTAGGAGCCAACTCTGGGTCCAAAATACTCCCAATTACAGATTTGTTGTTATTAGGTGTCGTTGAGTTGGTTCTGACTCACAGCAACTCTATGTACAACAGAACAAAACACTGCCCGGTCCTCTGCCATCCTCACAATTGTTATGCCTGAGCCCACTGTTGCAGCCACTGTGTCAATCCATCTCATCGAGGGTCTTCTTCTTTTTTGCTGACCCTCTACTCGACCAATTACAGAGAGGAAGTGAAATAAAAATAATTAAGGATTATCTCACTTTGTTATATTTGCAATAGGAACGGGGATCCACTTAGGCATTCTTGAAGATTCCAGACCAATTAAATTAATAGTAGGGAGGAAAGAGGGAGGCTACACTTATGACACTCAGTCCTTAATCATTCATCACTCTTTATTTTGCTTATTCATCCAACCAACATTTACTATCTACGAAATACTAGAAATGGCTAGGCACTGGGGATACTGAAATAAATATGTGATCCTTTTGTTTAAAAACTAGAAATCTGGTTTCACGAAGACTGGAATTTAGACTAAGACACTCATAGCTTAAATCCTAATTACATTAATTCTAGCTTCATATTTCTGCATAATAGTATATTAAAATAAATGCTACCAGAATAGCATCAGAAACTATTTGCTAAAAAGCTTGATAAATTCTAATAATACAACATAAATACAATAATAATTTTAATGTCTAATAACTCCAACATCTAAATCAACACTGAGTTCATAAGATGATGAATTTCAGAGGTAGCGGAGACTCCAGTGATTGTCTAGTCCAGCCATCTGATGTATGGAGGAGGAAGCTCAGGCCAGAGCCATGGCTTGCCTTGTCTGAGCTTCCCCAGGAGAGCTAGCAGCTGAGCCAGAATTCAAACTCAGACCCCCGACCCCACCTCACTGCTTTTTCCCTTGCATTCTCAAACACATAAAAGGGCTATCAAATCACTAACCTTTACTGGCATCCATTTGTAAGACTGGTACAGGGGTAAAATAGGGATCCGTGCGATGGGAAGCTGGCAGAACCGTGAGATTGGAAATGGTGGACCCTTTTATTACTTTCTGAACCTGCACCTAGATGATAAGAATTCTGTTTTCAGCAGACATTTTTGCTTTCACAATGAACACAGTTTTCTTCTTGTAAACAATAAATAAGAATTATGAACAGTTTCATTAAGTTTTAATAAGTAGTAATAGCAGCTCCAATTTTATTGCTGGAGTACCCTGTGCTATTGTCTACTGCCATGAGTTTGTGTAATTTAAAATAGTTAATTAAATCCAATTCACATGTTGTGATTTCCACTATGCAAAGTCAGTATAGTAGTTAATAAAGGAACTATTAAGATTTTGTTCAATTTTAATGGCTACAATATAAAAGTGCTAAATCTTAACAGAGGAGGTTTTGAATACAGCAAAGTTTTGTACAGGCAAATCTCCCAGGAAGTAAATATTAGCATTTTGAGGTTTAAAAAAAAAAAATCTCCAAAACCAGGAGAATTTAAAGACAAACATGTCAGTCATTATTAACAGATTAAAGATGAATTCTGGGCAGGTCCTTTTGCAGATCTCAGAAATGGTTATAAAAACACGGTGTCTAGATCAGTTACTCACAGAAGATGATTACTTTTCCTAAAGACATAAAATGCTTTTATTATAGTTATCAGATATGAATTGTTCCTATTAAGTGGTTTCTAGATTTTAAAGATTATATGTATTACATATAAATCACATATAATTGTATAGCTTAAGTATACTATTTTTACCTTTATTTTAAGAGGTTATGAATTACCTGGGCTCTCTTAGCAGGGAAGACACTACTGTTTGGTGTTTATAGACTGATTTAAATTTCCAAGTCATTTTCCAAACATTAATTAATTCGCGTAACTTCCAAGGGAACTAGATAATGGCTTGCCATCTCCCTACTGAGGAACCCGGGACAGAAAGGTTAGCAGATTTGTTGCAGGCCACACAGTATGCTAGAGATAACAGATTTTTCAATTTTAAGATTAGTAATCTGATTTTACATTAGTGAGATTTGTGATTGGACTCAATTGTACTACACCTAATTGCTTATCAAGGTTATGGTGACCCGAAGGAGAAAGAACGGGAGTTTCCTCCAGACTGCGGGGAGAAAACAAATTTATAAAACTAATCTATTGGCTGAGAACTGTCTGAATGAACAAAGCGTTAGCCCCCACCCCCCACCATGCCAGAATGTGGTACTTAAGTGACACTAGTAAAGCGGCCACCACCCCATGAACACTGAACCCTTTGATAATTGTAATGACAGTTTCAAATGCCTGTAAATAATGTTTTGAATAGGAACAAGTAGGCTGCAAGCGCAGTCTGTTACCTACCAGGTGACTGGGAAGGGAAAGGGAAAGGGCTACCAGCCTTGCCTTAATGGGAGTGATATACTCATATGCAGATGGTACGGTGGAGAAACTCCAGTCCTGCTGACCCTGGTCTTTTTCCCTCATCCTCTGCTCCTCTCCCCCCACCTCACCTCCAGACACTGAGTAGCTTTCAGGATCTCTTCCCAATCAGGGAGGCAGAGGCAATCACCCCAATGTCCTGTACTGCAGAGATGGCACAGACAAAGCTGAGGTACTCAGTATGAAAAATGGCAGGGCCTCACTTGTCGGATTGATATCGGGGTCAGCGAGGCAAAGGTAAATTGAAGAAAGTAAGGAAGAATAAACTTAAATAAAATTGTCAAGCACTGTGAAGATGTAAAATACAGGTTTGGCAGTTTTAGGGTGTACAGCATCATCTATCTGGATTTTCTGAAAGCCTCTGACAAAGTACACCTGACAGCCTGCTCTTGAATGCTAAAGAAGCAGCATCCAGCGTAAGACACAATGTAAAGTATGCCACAGAGGAGAAGCCAGAGGCAGATGATACTCAGATTCTGTCAGGCAATCAGCTCGTTCATAACACTGCTTTCTTTAATTTGTATTAATCTCAAAAGCCAGACCCAAGGACTATGCTGAAAAAGCAGTGAGGTGTGTGTGTGTGTGTGTGTGTGTGTGTGTGTGTGTGTGTGTTGGCTGCGAGGGGTGGGGGGTTCGAGTGCACACGTGCATGTGTAGAGGCGAGGAAGGGAGGGGTAACCTCCGGAGGTGAGTTCCTGGAGAGCTTACAGAAATAAATCCCTCCGACAGTGTTGCTGGATGTGAAACCTCAGCCCTCTCTGCTGCCCTGTGCCTAGCCCATCACAAGGATAACCGCTTCTGCATAGGCTTGGTTGGAGGGCGAGGGAGTGTAACAACCTTCACCATTTCCTGAGCACTTACCACATAAGGGAAACCCTGGTGGCACAGTGGTTAAGAGCTATGGCTGCTAACCAAAAGGTCAGCAGTTTGAATCCACCAGGTGCTCCTTGGAAACCCTATGGGGCAGTTCTACACTGTCCTATAGGGTCACTATGAGTCAGAATCGTACTCGACGGCAACAGGTTTGGGTTTTGGTTACTATATAACACCATCTTTAATAAAATGAGCATTAAATTCCATGAGTAATGGAAAGCTGAAGGGCTATGGGAGTGCAGAAGAGGAAGTAACTAACTCTGCCTGCTGGTACTGCAGAAGCCTTTTCAATAGAGCAGTGACTCAACCCTGGCTGGACATTAGAGTCACTCAGGGAACTTTGTAAAAATACTGCTGCCAGGGCCCCAACCCTGGACAATTAAATCAGACCAACTGGACTGGGGCCTGGGCCTGGATATTTCTGAAAGCTCCCCAAGTGATTCTAATGCACAGGCAAGGTTGAGACGTACTGCAGTGGAGTTGTGTTTCAAAGGGAGCACTGAATTGTATCAAGTGGAGAAGACAATGCAGTTATAGGTAGAAAGAATGGTGGCAACAAAGCACAATAGCATACAAACGCATGACGATGTCACCAAGGTGAGCAGCCCTGTGGCTGGAGTAGGGTGCATCAGACAGGAGGTAGGATGTGGATGGGACTAAAAACATATACTGAGATTAATGCAAATTAAAGAAACCAGCTTTATGAATGTGCTGATTGCCTAACAATTCAAACATCATCTGCTTCTGGTTTCTCCTTTATGTCATGCTTTATATCATATTTTACCTTGGAACTGTGCTTTGTAGTTTGTATAATAAGATATGAAATGGACATCATATTATAATAGAATCATATTATAAATAGAACAGTGTTTCTTATATCTGGACCTTCATTACTATTCCCAAAATTCAACCCTAATTCAGAACTTTATTAATTTATGCTTAAACCATCTACAATAGTTTAAATTTTTTGGAAATTAAAAATTATTACAAAGAGAGAAAAGCTTAAAGAAGAAAACAGCAATCATATTCCCATCTGCCAGAATTAACCACTTTGGAAATCCTGGTGGCGTAGTGGTTAAGAGCTACAGCTGCTAACCAAAAGGTCGGCAGTTCAAATCCACCAGGTGCTCCTTGGAAACCCTATGGGGCAGTTCTACTCTACAGGGTCACCATGAGTCGGAATCGACTCGATGGCCACGGGTTTGGTTTGGTTGTTTTACTATCTTGGCAAGGTCCCTAGGTGGCACAAACTGTTTGCACTTGACTGCTAACCTAAAGGTTGGCCTTTTGAACCCACCCAGCGGTACCGTAGAACGAAAGGCCCAGTGTGCTGCTTCCGTTAAGATTACAACGAAGAAAACCCTGTGGAGCAGTTCTACTCTAACACATGGGGTTGCCATGAGTTGGAATCATTCATGGCTGCTTTCCAGCTAACGACAGACCTAAACACAGCAAGTAACAACAACATCTTGACATATTTGCTTTCACTGTTTTCAAGTAGAAAAACCATTCTATTTTATTAATTTAGTAAAAATGATATATGCTCATTATAAAGATTTCAAACAATGAAGAAAAACGCAAAGATGAAAGTTTAAAAAATCATGCCAAATATCACTAGGTGATCCATTAACCTTGACATCTTTAGAATGATTGACATATAGTTTTGAAATAGGATTTACATTATTAAATTTAATCAAAAAAGAATTTAATAGAAGGAAGAAAGTATAAGTTAAAACCAACAAATTATTAAACTTCAAATGAATATTTCTTTACCACAAGATTTCTCAGAGTTAAAAAAAGATTCCCCTGCAGCAGTTGGAATTTTTTTTCTTAAAAAGTCATATAGCGATTATTTTAGGCTTTGCAGGCTCTGTTCAGGTCTGTCATTAGCTAGATAGCAGCCATAAATAATACACAAACAAATGGGTGAGTCTGGATTCCAATAAAACTTTACAAAAATAGCCCTCAGACACTGGTTTGCAGACCCCTGCTCTATAGTTAAAGGTGATTATGAAAAATGTTTAGACTTTTCTTACCACATTTTTATTTTGGACAACTTCAAAAGATGAAAGCATTAGAAATGTCTTGATACTCCATCTACTCTCCCTTGAACTGTGTCCCCTCAAAATGTGTGTCAACTTGGTTAGGCCATAATTCCCGGTATTGTGTGGCTGTCCTCCATTTCTGACTTGCTGATGCGATTATCCTATGTGTTGTAAATCCTAATCTCTATGATGTTAATGAGGCAGGATTAGAAGTAGTTATGTTAATGAGACAGGACTCAATCTACAGGATTAGGTTGTATCTTGAGTCAATCTCTTTTGAGATATAAAAGAGAGAATCGAGCAGAGGATAGGAACCTCATTACCACCAAGCAAGAAGAGCCAGGAGTGAAGCGTGTCCTTTGGACACAGGGTCCCTGCACTAAGAAGCTCCTAGACCAGGGGAAGACTGATGACAAGGACCTTCTTCCAGAGCCGACACAGAGAGAAAGCCTTCCCCTGGAGTTGGTGCCCTGAATTTAGACTTCCAGCCTCCTAAACTGTAGAAGACTAAATTTCTGCTTGTTATAGCCATCCACCTGTGGTATTTCTGTTATAGCAGCACTAGATAACTAAGACATCCCCCAATATTTGATTACATTATTTTTAATTGTTCAGATTTATAATATTCACATTATGTTCTGATGCCATAATTTCTATGATTGTTCAGTATTAGTTCTACATGTAACTGGGTTCAATGCTTACCACCAGTCCTTTTTGTTAT